TTCTTGAAAACTGTTTTTTGTTCTCAAATCTCAAAAAAACTTCAAAAGTTGTTTGGTTTGTGGTTTTATTCTCCAGTTTTTGAAAAAAACAAAAGNAAATTTTTTCAGTAAGATCCATGTTAATATTATTTGTCAATTTAATTTTATGCTTGTTATATGAATTTTCATTACTTTCAGTATATTTCGATATCTTTGTCAAGTTTAATAATTTTTTATTTAAAATTTATATGTGTGTATATATATTTATTTATACTTTCAAATTATTTGTTTCTTTTTATGTAGTTAAGATTTTGCATCTATGCTTATTATTATTTTTTGTTCGATTTTGTGTCTGTGTTTGATGCCTTTTTTTTTTATATTCGATTTTGTGTCTTATAGTTTTGCTTGATCTTTACTTGATTTTTTTTCCTTCTTATTTCGGTTTGCTTTTTTTTTTTCTTGTTTCGTTCTATTCTTTTTTATTTTTTCAGAATACTTGATTTTTTTTACTTGTTTCATTTTTGATTTTTTTTTCCTTGTTTCGTAAATATATTTATGCATTCAAATCAGTTGTCTTATTTCATTATTTTTTTTTACGATGACTTCTTTTATTAAAAAAGTGTACATAGAATGAATGATGTGAACTTTAATGGGATGTATGTAACATAAAGTGAGCTTAGTTACTAATATGGTGGATATAGAAGGGGTGAACTTAGTAGTTTGAAAATGAGAAATTAAATGGGGTGGTAATGAAGATTTGTGGTGTGAGAATAGTAATCTAAAAAACTTGTTTCAACCCTTAACTCAAACTTATACCAAATTAAGGAAAATTTATTTTTTTTACTCAAATTAGGGGAGACTCAAATATTTAATGGTGAGATTTCATAATATTTTAAAGATCCAATTATCATATTTATTCCCTTTTAAATTTGGGACTCTCATTCTTTAAATTTGAGTTTATCAATTGGAATTTTTTAGAACATCTCCAACCATGACTCAAATTTTTACTCAAATTTAAATTAACATTTGAGTAATAAACTTGATTTGATATAAATAACTTCAATTGACAAACTCAAATTTAAAAAAAGAGATATCCAAATTTAATTGAGGGGCAAACCTAAATTTAAAAGGGAGTAAGGATGACCATTGGATATTTAGTAAAATCTCACCATTAAATATTTGAGTTTCCTTTGATTTGGTATAAGTTTGAGTCAAGGGTTGGAACAAATTTTTTTACACCCTCCAATTTTGTCCATAAAGAATGCAAATTAAAATGAATGCCAAAATTAATGTATAACATTGATACGAACTAGAAGCGCTCGACAGTTGGACTATGGATGCCGATTCTTGATTGTAGGTCTTTGTGATTTCGGCACTGTGGTTGAATAATTGAGAAGATGAATCAGTAAATAGTTCTTGTTTGGCTGGAGAAGAAGAAGACAATTAGGGGCTGTTTTGTTTGATTCTTGAAAACTGTTTTTTGTTCTCAAATCTCAAAAAAACTTCAAAAGTTGTTTGGTTTGTGGTTTTATTCTCCAGTTTTTGAAAAAAACAAAAGGAAATTAGAGTATAAAACTAGAAAACAAGCTGGACTTGTGTTTCAAGTTTTTCTACCAAAACTTTGAAAACACGGGAAACAGATTATTCTTTACTGAGGTTTCCCCCTTCGAGTTCTCTTAGAAGCAAAATAAGCCATACTATAAAAAGCCTTTTTTTTCCCTTTTGCCTTTGTCCTTTTAGGCCGTCTTTCTCTCTCTCTCTCTCCATAGACTTTCAGACAAAAGTCTTCTTCGGTGATTGTGCCTTCTCCAACAACTGCATCTTCTCTCGCAAAACACTCACACACATTAGAGCTCTCTGACGACTAGATGTACTGTAAGCTATCCGACGATTGGTTCAGATCTGGTTCAATCGGCGAAAACACATATTTGATTTTTTTTTTATCTGATGACAAGTTCAATTGGCGATTGGTTATTTATATAAATCAGATCATATCAAATTTTTTTGGTGTTGGGTGGTTCTTGGTGTGGGTTGGTGGTGGTTGTGTGTTATGGGTTGATGGTGGTTGTGTGTTATGGGTTGATGGTGGTTGTGGGTGTTGAATTGGTGGTGGTTATTAGGTTGATGGTGGTGGTTGTAGGTGTTGGGTTGATGGTGGTTCTCGGTTGTAGGTGTTGGATGATACACAATGAAAGAGAGAGAGACAGAGAGTTGAAGAGAGGTGAGAATTGTGAATTATTGTATAGACAAATTTTATAATTTTTGTTCATTAAAATTATTTTTAAAAATATATAACCAAAAAATTTTTGTAATCTAAAATTTTTTAAAAACACTTTCTTAAAATTTTTATCAAAAATAATTTTCAGATATTAATTTTTAGGATGGAAATCAAACAGCGATATCGGGAGTGTTAACAGTTTGAGGGTCGTTGTGGTTTTTCAAGTTGGACGACGTCGTTGCGGGTTTGCCAAACCCGTCGTTGCTATCACATCACAAGCCACCGCCTCCTCCTCCATTTTCGTCTAGCCCGCCCCCCCGGGATCGTGGCGGCGGCGACGATCGGAAAACTTCAACCAACCCGACACGCTTGTACTTGGTCGTCTTGTTACACTTCAGTTCACGATTCTTGTCCCAAGCAGACTGCTACTGTTCCTGTAATGGGTTCGCTGCAGCAGGCCAAGAAGCTGCAATGGCCAGCCAACACGGTCAGGGACTCATTTATCAAGTTCTTCGAAGAGAAGGCCCACGTTCACTGGAAATCCAGCCTTGTTGTTCCCCTCAATGACCCACCTTCCTATTTGCCAATGCCGGTTAGTTCCATCTCTCTCTCTCTCAAAGACGAATGCATCGATGTTTGTATACACCTAGATTAATAAAAAATTTATTGCTCTGTTAGATTTTCCTTATCCATTGCTATTCAACCTGATTTTCTTTGTCACTTGGCTGGCATGCTGTTATGTGACGTGCTTGCAACACCCAGAAGTGCATCCGAGCTGGTGGCAAACACAATGACCTGGACGATGTCGGCAAAGACACTTACCACCATACTTTCTTCGAGATGCTTGGTAATTGTTCATTCGGGGATTACTTCAAAATAGAAGCCATTGAATGGGCTTGGGAGCTCCTCACCAAGGCAAGTCATGGCACCTTGTAGATCTCTCTGCCCTCCCACAAAAGGATGCCCAAGCATCTGTTTTTTCTGTACCCGTCCTCAGTTGTTCGCAAGACTTGGAAATTTTGATCTTTTTACCTTTTGCTTCCTCTTTATTACATACCAAAACACTGTTTGGTGCAGTAGTTGTACACATTGAAGGATGTACTGATATTCAGTCAATCAAAAGATGGGAAATCCTCTGTAACTCAAATGTATCCCAAATGTGCATTCCAAATGAACGGGATCATCGGATGAGTGAGTTCTATCAACTTTTTTAATTGGGACCCACTGATCCAACCATCCTTATTGATTTGGAATGTACTTTTAGGATACAAATTTGAGATATATACCATTGCTCTCAAAAGAAACCAATTGACAATTTTGAATTCACATTTTCATTGTTGTATTGGTCATTTAGTTTGATTCATTGCGGGTGTTGGACCACTTGTTTTGATGTCCCATGCCTTCTAATTCTAATATTAGGCTTAGGGTGCAAATTTGTCCCAAACTTGGTTTTGTAGTCGTTGGCCTTCTTTATTTCTTCTTTCTATTTTCTTTTGAAATTGTGGGAATGCATTATACTCTATCAGTTGACAAGAAATGTATTCAATCAGATGAATTGAGAATGTGTTCGCGGACATTAATTTTCTAACCCAGAAAATAATAAACATGACTCCTTTAACTCACTTTTATGCTTTGCCTTATATTTCATCCGAAATCAAATTATGTCAAACCCAAAGATTTGGAATTAACTTGCAACTCAATTGCCTCTTGATTTCTCTCTACTGATATTTGTTTAAAATATCTGATGATATTATCCTTTGTTTTGTCACTGCTTTTCGGTCTGCAGGTTTATAGATTACCTACTGATTGATTCTATGCCACCTATTTTGGTCGAGATGGGAAATCTGGTCTTCCTGCTGATGATGAAGCTAGGGACATGTGGCTTAAATTTCTTCCATCTGCACGTGTGTTGCCATTTGGTTGTAAAGTATGGTTGCTCCTCCTTTTGTTGGCCCACTTATATTGTGTGATGTGATCGCAAGCGTTATGATTCTTCTTGGTGAATCCTGTCTCATGATATCAAAGTGTAATGAATGATATAGGGAATTATTTTCTGTACCTTCATAGGACAGAAATTACATTTTTAAATCATGAGGGTCTTGTTTTTTTCCTTATGGCTGTTTGAGGAAAATGAGAACTTTTTCCTGGAGAAATAAGGAATTGAATACCCAAAGAAAGTGAGAATGAAAAGGAGAAAAACAAAGAGGTGTCTATATATTAAACTTCGGTTTCAGTCCTAATCCTTAAAACATACTTGCAGAGCAAAGGATCAAACCTGAAATAATGATATTCACAAATCAATTTGGTTGCGTGCTACTGTGCTAGTTAGATCGACTTTGATGCACAATGTTTATATTTGTTCTCTTTGGCAACTTTGAGCAGGAGGGTGATACTGGACCATGTGGACCGACCCTGTACTGAATACATTTTGATAGAATTGGGAATCGAGATGCAGCTTCATTGGTTAACAACGACGATCCAACAGTGATTGAAATATGGAACCTTGTCTTTATTCAGGTCATAGTTTCCCAATCCTGTCATGCAATTCTTCAGCTAGTAGACAGTTTATCTCAGGAGTTTCTATGCACATAACTTCAAAAGATTTCACATGTTATGGAAATAGGGTCTGCTCATATGCAGGCCATAGTTTTTGTCTCTTTTTTTAGTGCAACATTTTAGTTTACCTTTTTTTTTTTTTTTGAGTTTGAAAAAGTGTTGAGTTTTCTTGGTGTCTCCTTCACAGTTTAACAGGGAAGTTGATGGTTTTCTGAAACCGCTGCCTGCTAAGCATGTTGATACTGGAATGGGTTTCGAAAGATTAACGTCTATTCTGCAGGAAACAATGAGCAATTATGATACTGATGTGTTCTTACCCATTTTTGATGCTATTCAGCAGGTAAGATGATTATGTATTGGAATTTTAAGTAAGATTAGAGAGAGTAGTTGCTAAACTATTCTACAATTAGAACATCGATGATTGTCCTTTCAAAATATTGACATTTTTCTTAGTGGGATTGCAGTTTCATTAGTTTGCATCAATTCAGAGCTACTGTCTTCCTTTCATGATTCATATGGTGACCCCCATAAAAATACCCTCAATCTGTTATTTTGTTTTGTTTTGTTTTGTTATCTCTGTTTTCCATCCGCTTCCATCTCTCTCTTTTGTTTTGGTTTATTTTGTTTCCCCGCCCCTCTTCTGGGGACAATTCACCGAAGTCGAGCTTCTCTCTTGATGTCTAGTTTTGGTAAAGTGAGCTATGGTAATCTGCTGCACAAATGACTTTTTTAAGGATCACTTTTGATTAAGAGTATTGAAAATCATATGTTATATCGGAAAATAAATAGTATGCATGCCAAATGGATGATATGTATGTGTCTGGTAAATATGGAGAAGATTTTTTCATCTTGGAGCTGTGAATCTTTGATAGTTGAAAGAAATACTAAAGATCCCTTCACTTTGTTGGCTTGGTTGGGTGTACCAAGGAAATAAATATCATATATGAAATCTAGAGGTGTTCATACTAATGTGGAAGACTTCTTTGAACTTTTTTCAAGTTATCAAAATGCGGAAAGATTGAGGTACTCTGGGATGCAGATTGCAGAGTTTGCTATGACTTCATTAGTAATTGAGTATTAATTTATGGTCTTAGTGTTTGTTTAATGCTTGTTATAGTGTATGGTATAGATGACACTATGGCAATAAGTCTATGCCCTAAGAGGTATATTAGTCCTTTAGTATCATTTCCACACACACACACAGTATGTGTGTGTATATATAGACGAAGTAGATTAGTGCACCTCTTACGTTTCTCTCTTCTTCTCTCTAATCACCAAACCCTAATAATACACACACACATTCAAATGGTATTGATACCTGGGCTTTGGGTAGTTGATGGGTTTCTCACCCAGTTAAATTCTTCTTCTATTTATGTTTTTGTTCAGTTCTAGACTGTTTCTCGGTGTATCTTAGTTCAGTTTGTTAGCCCATGTCACTCCACTGATAGTGAATTAGTTTTGGGTTGGGTTCTATACAACTCAGGTCTCTTGATATCATTTTACACTTCTATGGCCAATTATATGACAAAAAGGACAAAATTATGGTGTTTCCACTTTACATACATCTAGAAGCTTGGGATTAGAAGCAGATTTACTTGAATAGCACGTGAGTTGGATAGATTTCTCGTGTTTATCTTGCAACGTTCTCTCTTAACTGATGTAGGAACATACCTCTGTTGATCCTTCGGCTGTGTAAGATATGCTGCTTCATCATCTGGTGTCAGATTTGCCAATTGTTGAAGTTTCCATATCAATTTGGTGTCTTTAATTCTGATTATTGATTTAAAGGAAGGAGGTCCTATCTGTATATTTTTTACCTAGGAATTTCCAGCTGTATTTTTTGTATTCTGAGCCTTGAGCCAAATAATAGAGTTTCATTCACCCAAGGAAAGTGCTGATAATTAATATTGGTACTTGGTTGCAGTATCTACTAACTAAATCCGTTGTGGTTTTGGTGAGAATCATTGTGTGATTATTTGTTCTGCCACCATCACTCGTATGCAATGGTCTAAATTCTGCTCCCAATTGCTTTACTTTTCAGATTGCACTGCTCTACATCATTTTTTTCTCAAACCTTTTATTGGCTTTTCCAATTTTTGGCAGGCAACTAAAGCTCTTCAACCATATACGGGCAAAGTTGGCCCAGACGATGTGGGCAAAGTTGACATGGCATACAGGGTTGTTGCTGACCACATTAGAACTCTTTCATTTGCCATTGCTGATGGTTCTTGTCCAGGTGGAGTGCTAGAAACTTGGAATTGGTTCTGCTTTTACTGCTTTGTTTACTTCTCAATGGTGAATTACAGGCATTACTTTTACTCTTTCTTTATGGTCTTGTCTTCGTTGCAAACTGGAGTCCTTTATATTCAGAGATCTAAAAGATCATGGAGGTGTTTCCAAATGTTCTGTTTGATTTTTCCAGAATTCATTTAAAGGCTTTGAATCCGTGGGGGCTTGCTGTTAGGGAACATAAGAGTAAACTTTATCAAACTTTATACTCTGATAAATACATTTGACTTTGGCAAGCTTTGTTTTGAACTTTTTGTGTCTTGTATATGCTCGCCGGCAGTGCGATGAATGGGCCCTTTGTTTTTTTTTCTTTTTTAAAACTACATTCTATTGTGAAGAGGGAAGTAATTTATCGCTTTCCGAGGCAGTAAGACCGCATTCTGTGGACATATTTTTGCTGACTGGGAATATCTAACAATATTCACCCATGTTAAATTGATTGTATTCCGTCACCCATTACTAGTTTCCTGTTTCTGTTTGTTTTTGGATAGAAGGGGGTGAAAAAAGGGGGGGGGGTCGTTAGGGGTACGGGTTTTGTTTCTTGGTAATGTGACGTTATTGTTTTCATTATTCTTGTTAATCCTCTCTCAGAAACTTTTTTTCTTACTGGAATTTATGATGATTTTGCTTGTTATCCAAGCAATGATGTGACACCCCAAGTTTTCCGGGGTGATTTAGTATATTTTATGTGATTAATGTGACAAATATACAAAATTCATCAAATGAATTGAAGTTAACGTATTGGTTTAGACTAGACAATCAGAGCATCTAACGTACTTTCAAGTAACTTAGGTACAAAGGATTTGTAATTTGGGCATTCATTTAATATCATAGTCTAAGTATCCAAATTATACATTTATTCCAAAAGTAGTCCATAATCGACACTATTACATTCTGTCGGTTTTGAACACACACCAACGCAACAAAACACAAGTCACAAATCTAGAATTTGCTCGAGCATTAACATGAATATAATATCTCGTAAGCCAACTGAGCACAGAAATTTAAGATAGCTCTAGGAAGAAATTTTTGTCATCTCTTGATCTATTCCCTGCAAAAATGTTAGGGTGAACCAACGCCCAGGAGGAAAACAACTATCAAGTGTTAATCCCATCCCACATGACATAGGCATACACGAAATTCTCAAATAATATTCATGACAAGTAAATATAGCAATATTAAGCTCATAACGTGCTTAAAGCAGTACATATGACGCACTAACAAATAGAAATCGTTCGATTTAGCAAGTACCCAATATTACCTATTCGTGCCATGGGTCACTCTAGACTTTCAATCATAGTCTATGATTATTTACTCTAGTACATCCTTTGTTATGCACATACTCTTAGGGAACACCGGGAACCTTTGAGGGCTCTAACTTCGGGTGTACCCCACCCCCTCATCCTTAGATGCTTTCAATCAGGGGACGAGTAGTCCCGCACCTCGATGGATGCTCTGCTTAATCAAGACTTATTCTGGGTCTTTCACCCAAGGGAGGAGCGATTCCAACTTACTTGTCCCATATTGTTTCAAACATTATCATTTTGTGTATCACATGATCGATTATGTATACTAACCAAGATTATCACGTGCGATGCACCTTCCATTGAATTACCATTTAGTATACTCATGGTGCAGTTAGAAATAAGCATTTCAATACCATCCCAACATGTTAATAGATATAAGAGTATGTACTATTTCAACCTTAGTGTAATTATCACCATTGTGAACATGTCGTCATTATCATTCTTTGTATGTCAACATATCTCATGTATATCACCATACTTTAATGGTTGTTAATATTGACTAGAATTACATCGTTACTTATGCAACCAATATATGTACTTTTCATAACCATGAGTGTTATATATAAATATATATACTCCCAAAGAGCTAATAATTTATGATCACCTCTATCTTTTGAGTTTTAGAAACTTTTGGAGTCTTTAGATAATTTCTAAACACATGATCTAGCAATATGACGTAATTTTATAATCTCTAAAACAATCTCATAACTGTTCGGGGTCAATCTACAGTTTCAGAAACATTTCCTAACTATTAAAATTACTGATTTAGTGTTTAGATAATATTTTATGATCTTCTGGGTCATTGTGTAATTTTAACAAGTACTTATCTGTTACTTCTGAAAACACAAAAAGGGGCTTTCTGTCACTTAACAAAACCTTGAACTTAATTTTATAATTTTAGTAGGCATATGTTATAGCTAAAACCAAAAGGGATAGTTTCTAAATTCAAGTCATTATCTCCATCTACGCCCAGTACTGCTCTTCTTCTTTTTTTTTTTTTTTTCATCTTTTTCTATCTGATTTCATCTCTAAAAATTATTTTTGTTAATTTCTTTAGAAGATACAAAACCCATTTGAGAGACCTGCACATTCAAATAAGTATATAACATACCCATATATACACAAATATATGTGTAATTCCATCATGCATAAACCCACATATTTCATATATATATATACTAGGGATAACCCGTGCCTGTAGCCACGATGCAACTGAAAAAAATCGAATATTGAATTTGAACTCGAAATAATCAAGCACTGAACTCGTACTAAATTGAAAGTCTAAACTCGTTTGGTCATCTTTAATGTCATGACTTTAGTGAAATAAAAAAGGTCAAAAGTTGTCATCAACCAATACTTTGACTACCTAAATTCAAAAAAAAATTACATTAAATCAGTAACCCTCCAAATTACACAACTTTTTTTGATCCAATAGGAAAAAGAAAAAAAGGAACTAAAAGTCATTTACGTCTAGGAATAACTTGTGCCTGAAGGCACGATGCAATTAAAATTAAATATGTTCAACAAAGTATTACTATTTGAAGATTCTCGTGAAAATAAATTTCAATAAAGAGATAGAGAAATATTTAATTTTTATTTTTTAATTAAATTTTAATTTAATTTTCTTTGTTCTTTTTAAATATTTGAACAAAATTTTTCCTAAAAACAAGACCCTAAAAAAATATCAAACTGTATAGACAATTACCATTCTATATGTCACAATCAATCCAACCCAAATTCAATTATTTGGCTCAATATCACACGTCAATCCAACCTTAATATATAAAAAATTACAACCATCCCAATAATATAAACACTAGTGATGAAATGTAAGATACAAAAAATATCAATTTAGTATACAAAATACATCAATTTGTTAGTTCTTTAACTTGTAAACACAATTTTCATAACCAAACTACAACGTAACACAGATTCGATACTACAAAGACGAAAAAAAACACACAGATGACATAAAAAATACAATGTTATTTCTTAAAGTGCCCAAACTCATAATCAAAATCCAATTTTCTTCCTCAACATTGCACATTAACCCTTCATGTCACCAACTGCAGAAAGCACACAAAGAAATTGTAAAGTTTCGATAAACATAATATATTCCACCTCAATTGGTATACCAAGTTCACAAAACCTATTGATAAAATCTTCCTTTTTAGTCCTAATTGACACTTCCCACGTCAAACAACAGCATAAGTTAATTCATACTTTGAAATGCTCTACATAATACAAAAATTCATACATTCGAAAAAAAAAAAATTAAACATGTGTTTTGAAACTATAGGCATGCATTTTAAATTGCTTCTACATAAAACATGCCAAACTTCGTACATCCATGAAACATGCATTTTAAAACTATATGCATCTGACTAAAAGCTCTTGGTAGTCCCATTGAAAAATTTTCCATGTCTTTTGTCAAGTAAGAAAAGCTTTATTCCACCGTCGAAGTAAACCTATCAAACAAACTCGACTCAAAGTACAATAATTAGTCTTATTAACTTTAAAAATCGGGCAAAAAATCAAGCACATACATATATTTACTTATGATTTTAAAAAGCATGCTTCATGAGTGCCTATGTTTAAAAATAAAAAAAAAATAGAGGAGGTTTAAACTTACATGATCAAAAATGGTGAGATCTTTCATTTTTCAATCTTGTGAGTTTGAAGTGGTGGTTAGTACACTATGGTGGCTACAAATATAAAAAAACAGAGAGAAATAATTAAACATGTAATTGAAAATTTGTCTTAGCAAAATTAATCGTGTAAGCAAGTTAAAAAAAATTAGATAAATACACTCCTTATGCGACAAACAAAAATAATTTGATAAGTACTAAATATTCAAATAAAAACTTGCAATAATCGGAGGAAATACCGCATAATAGCAATGAACGAATTTGAGGTAGCAAGTACCACCCTTAACCACTTTATTTCCACAAAACCAACGAGGTAATAAAAAGTATAGGAAAAAAAAATTATGCAATTCAACTCAACTCAAAGGCCCTTCACTCATTTTGCACAAACAACAAAAAGACAAAGGAACATATAACTCAAATTGAGTAAATCAAAAAATTAAAAATATTCGTTAAATATACATATTCATTTAGTTGTAAAATTGCAAAAAACACATAAATATTGACATATTTAGTGCATGTGTAGATCTTTGACATAGGTGGTGATAGCTTTTTTCAAATACTCTGTGTAGATCATTTTTAGTGCATGTGTAGATCATTTAGTGCATGTGCAAAAAAATCAAATACTCTTTTAAGTGGATGGGTGGTAAGTACGCATTACTCCTATCTAATGATGCAACTATGCAACCATGGCATACATGACCATTTTAGCTAATTACCCTAATCCTGAGAATCTATCTATTATTCATTTTCTTTATTATCTTGCAATGTTACAACCCAACTTCGTCAATTTGTCTTATGAACAAAAATCTAGGAATCCCAAAAGTACAGCTAAAATGGTTGGCTACAAGCTTAAAAGTTCTGATTGGTATCAATTTAGGTCAAGTCAGAACCAATAAGTCACTTCCCGGAGGCAAAACAACAAACAAATGATTTTGGATATCATGTAGGGCCAGAATCAGAAAAATCGATTATTAATAACAGACCATCCCACACATCATGTCCCAAAAATTTAAACATCATGATGTGATAAAATATTAACTTACTACAATGGTCTAAAATTTTAAATTTTGAAGTCCTTATATATTTCTCCTTATTGTACCACATTACTCGTTTTACAATATTTATCCAACATCACGCTCTACAGTACATTGAGACTTCAAGAATCAAAACCACCTAGGCAGAAATCATA